CCCATGTTAGGTCTACCAATTGCTCCAAAGCCCACCGCTCAACCTGACCTGACACAAGCAGAGTCCACCGAGCCAGAGGATGAGGGACAAACAAGACAATCTGTGAAACAGAGAGAGCGCTGCAGTGAAATAGTAAGTGCTGGCTCCATCTCATACACACATCTTGAGGTGGGGTGCCCAACTCTGGTCCAGGGACTTGGGGTGGGTCCAGGGGTTGTTCACCGTGTAGCATGCCCCGGAGCACACCATCTATGGTATCATCATTGCAGAGACAAACATTTTGTGTTGCACACATGCAAGTATACAGAGTGGGATCAGGTCAGTGCCGTTCATATCAAGGTACTTCAGCGCCTGAACCTTCCCTTCAGGTGGGCCAAGGACCTCTCTATTGTGCACCTTGTGGTGCAGAGTGAGGTGTTGAAGCTTTTTTGAACTCCTGATAGGTGGCCGTTATCGTTGAAGGGAACCAGCAGCCATGGTTGTAGAGGGTATGCAGGATCCCCCAGGATGTGGGTGTCGTTGGGCACAATAGACTGAGGGTTGGCGGTAATCATCTGGTGCAGGTCTGAGTTCCGGTACACCCTTGCATCATGCACTGTGCCGGGATAGGCACTAAATACACTTGTGAAAAGCATTTTGTCATCGCAGATGGCCTGGAGGTGCAAAGAATGGAACGACTTTCAGTTGTCATATGTCTCAGGGTATTCTCGGTGGGCCTTGATGGGAATGTGTTTTCCGTCAATTGCTCCGATCACCCCAGGGAACTTAGCTGCCTTTGCGAAGCCACTGATGACTTCTTGTGCTCTGGCCCGTTGGCCATACGATGACTCGTACAGAGAGATGCAGGCCTCGATCATAGATTTAGAGATATCGAACCTGTCGCCGATTCCCATGCACAAAGGAATAAAATATATCATGATATTATATACATTATGATATAACTGTTATAATAACATAACACTACTCAGAACCTAAATTCACTCTTTGCTAACTAGGCCATGATTCGAGATCAAATACAAATGATGCTGCAGTAACATGCAGTTCGTCATTACCACCACAAGGCGTCAGCGATACCATGTGCCTTTTAAATCAAATCAAATTTTATTTGCCACATGCACCGAATACAACAGGTACAGTGAAATGCTTACTTACAAGCCCTTAACCAACAATACAGTTTTAAGAAAATAAAAACTAAAGTGTTAAGTAAAAAAATAGATCAGTAAAAAATAGCTAATAATAGCAATTAATTAAAGTACTGTCAACAGTGCTTTATGACAGTTGAAAGGTAATGTCAATATCACGTAAACAAAACCTATTTACCATTAACCAGGATGGATTTCTGGTGAGTTTTATTGCAGATCGCTTGCTGTATATTTTATTATATATTTTGAAATGTGCGAATAACAGTCTGTGGCCCTGTTTACCTGTTGTCTGAGCATTATGACAACTTATTACAGTGTTTGAAGTACCTAGGTCTATAATTGTATGTTGTTGGTCTGTGCACGTGTATGGACTACAGTGGCTAGCTGTGATGGAGTTGGCAAGTTATGACGTTGCTTATCAATGGTGTGGTACTGTAGATTTGGACATCATTTTGTCAAGTTCTGTACCTGATCACATCCATAATCATGATTAGTTTATAATGGCACGACAATATTCACCTGAATGACTCCTGATTTCCTAGTAACCACAGCACAATCATGAGCTGCTTGTCTGCTAGAATGGATGGACGACCGACTGCCTGGTTGGTTATTTGGGTAGCTGTTTCCTCGCAGAGGGTTTTTAAAGGTGCTCCTTTTCATTTTGAAGTCCTCATCAATTTTTTCGGCATAGTCTGGAATCCGTGTGTGCATAAACTGCGGATTGGGTGTTAACATATTCAGGATTTCCATGTCAATGTTGGCAGTGTCATACTCCTAAAAATCCCAAATGAAAAACATTGCTATGTTACTAGCTAAGTAAGTTCCGTTATACTATTCTAGATATTGCCATTCCAGCTGACAATCAGCTGATTGCACTTGCCAACGTTAGCTAGCTAGGTTGCTGTTACTGTCTGTAGCTAAAAACAAGGTTCGTGACACACTGACACGCCAAATGCATGTTGCAAGGCTAATGCGTTGATCTTACATTGTCTTCATCACTGTCACTGTCAACCAGAGTCTCAAAAATGGATGAAACAACATTGTTTACTACCCAAAAGAGAGCAGTCACGCCTTCTCTGATTTAAGCCTTTTTTATTTGTGAACTGTTTATCGTTAATAAATTTGTCGTTAGCAAGCGCCCCAGACGCTCGAACCAGAGCGCTTGCATTTCAGAGGAGAGCGTCCAGAGGGAATTTACGAACGTACCCAAAGTATACGGCATGCGTTTCGCAACGGAGCCTCGGACGCAAGCGGGCGCTGCAATGCCACTACGTTGCAGACCGTCACCAATGTATGACTTCCGGCGCAACGCAACAGACTGCACATTTGGAATGTGTAAGCGGCGTAAATCCCAATTCAAACGACAAGCATTTTTACACACGTGAATGAGTGTGCTGACGCTTTGAACACACTGACTGCGTCATTGCGCAAAATAGTATGCAGCATCTAGATATGTGTGCAACAAAACATTCACCTTCTGCTACCATTTCTGTCAACCCATTTACGCATACAGTTTGACGCATACGTTCGATAAATCCAACGTATGCACAACACAGAACGCACTGCAAGGCAAACGCAGCGTTCCATTGGAAATGAATGTACTTCTGGTGTACCTAAACGCAATGACGCAGTCGGTGTGTTCGAAGCGTAACGCTGGATAGAATGCATATGAGTGAATGAGAGAATAGACGGGCCGCAAGCGTCAACGGCATCAGCGCATCAAATTAGAAACCAAGTATATTTTTCTCGCGTCTACGCGAAGCAATGTTTGTAAAATGAGTGAATCAATTGTGTGGGTTGTTTTGTAGAAAATGAATTAGAGGATTGTTATGATCTCCCTTATGCCAAGTAGACTAAAGATGTAGTTTAAAATGTATTTGGCTGTAAGCTAAGGTTTATCAGTCAAATAGGCTACATATTTAAAAACAATTGCAGCCAACCTGTGTTGATTTTGATCGTATAGGCATATAGCCTAGGCAGGCTACGGCTGGAAAACTCAAGGAACTCCAATTTCAAGAGAGAATACTGTGTTTGGTTTATAAACATCCTCATGTTCGTGAGCTAGTATAACAACAACTGTTTAGCCCAGGTACTGTGGAGCCTGTAGGACATCTTAGGCAAGTAAAAAGGAACACACAACAATATTCCCAGGGGTTAGCTACATAGCGAACATACAGTGTATCAACGTTTATAATGGATTTTCATTACAATTACGTTGGCATACGGTACGCAGTGTATGTGAATTGAGTCTCGCTACTCTCGCACAAAAGTGTGATTTGGCCTTAAGTGAGCAAGTCAGAGTGGAGATTCGTTGCTAGACGGAGCAGCCAGGAGAGAAAAAAGAGAGCAGCCAATGACATATATACACATACACACACACACACACAGTACCAGTCAAAAGTTTGGACACACCTACTCATTCCAGGGTTTTTCTTTATTTTTTACTATTTCCTACTATTGGATTGGCTCAAACGCATTAAGAAGGAAAGAAATTCCATAAATTAACTTTTAACAAAGCACACCTGTTAATTGAAATGCATTCCAGGTGACTACCTTTATGAAGCTGGTTAAGAGAATGCCAAGTGTGTGCAAAGCTGTCATCAAGGCAAAGGGTGGCTATTTGAAGAATCTCAAATATAAAATATATTTTGATTTGTTTTAACACTTTTTTGGTTAATACATGATTCCATATGTGTTATTTCATAGTTTTGATGTCTTCACTATTATTCTACAATGTAAAAATAAAGAAAACCCCTTGAATGAGTAGGTGTGTCCACATTTTTGACTGGTAATGTGTATGTGAACTCAATAGCGCAAATGAAGTTGGTTAAGAATAACGGGGATCCTGTTTTCTACAAACAATGCCTGCAGTACCACGGTCAGCCTTGAACTTCTGTGGCTTGAATGAGCGGGGACAGTCGTTCTCCCCTGGGAGCAGCTGACAATAACAGCTAAGCTAGCAACCGAAAAAGTTCACCTGAAAAAAGGTAAAGATGTCACTGTTTTCAATCATCCCACCGGAAAACTTTGACTTCACAGACTTTGGTAACTGGCCCAATTGGATCTTGAGGTTTGAAAGATTTTGTATAGCAGCAGGCTTAAATGAAAGATCTGAAGAATACCAAGTCAACTCACTAGTGTACACAATGGGGGATAAAGCTGATGTTCTCTCAACGTTAGCCTTAACTAGTGAAAACAAAAAGAGCTTTATGAAAGTCAGAGATGCTTTTGAGAATCATTTTGTGTGCAAACACAATCTATGAGAGGGCTAGACTCATCAAACGGTGTCAAGAGCCAGGCGAGACAGCTGAGACATTTATCACTGCAGTTCATAAACTAGCAGAGCACTGCCAGTATGGGGGGGTACTCCAAGAGGTGATGATCATAAACAAGCTGGTAGTAGACACAATGGATCACGGGCAGTAGCTAGACTCAGCGTTGACTCTCACAAAAGCCATTACAAAAAGAAGACAACTGGAGGAAATCAAAAAGCAGCTCAGACATGAAAGAGGCAAAGATGGATGCAATGACATTCCAGAGAATGGGCAAACGGCATCCAGTGAAAAATGGACAGAAATGGTATGGAACTGTCAATCAAACCACAGGATGTGGAAGGTGTGGTAAGCCACCGCCACACTCACTGTACAGTTGCCCTGCACCACAGGCAAAGGATAGAAAATGCCAGAAGAAAGGACATTTTGCAGCTGTGTGTAAATCATGTAGATGAAATCCATGACATGACAGAGAGCATTGAAAATATTTTTCTTGGAGAAATAGAAATATGGATTCAGTTGATGTGTGGAGACCGAATGTGAACATGAATGGCCAACAGGTGACAAGCTGGAGATTGGAGCAAGAATGACGGCTATCCCAGCCAGTCTCTACTCCAAACAGCAGAGAGATGGAGCCCTCAGCAGAGCAACAAAGAACCTGTGTGGTCCAAGCAACACACTGTTACAGGTGAGAGGACCATTCAATGGCACTCTAGAGCACGTGGGCAAAACAGTGAAACACTCAGTGTTCGGGTGTCCCAACTGCTAGTGTTGCCTGCTATACAGGACCTGCAGCTGCTCAAACCAGTGAATGCCATACATGAGCCATCACCTAACTACAGAGAACTGTATCCCAAAGTGTTCACAGAACTAGGGAAACGGGGAGTACAAAATAAAGCTGAAAGAGTTAGCCACACCCTTTGCCTTGTCGGTGCCATGCCGTGTCCTGCTGCCCCTGTTGAAAAAAAGTCAGTGAAACTATATCGGATGATGGACGTGGCCACACCCATAGAATGACAAACATCAGAATACGCGTACATATGACATCTGAATGAGAATGTGTCTAGAGAAAGACACATCTTACCTGCAGTGGATCAGACGCTGGCCAAACTGTCAGCAGCAACAGTTTTCTCCAAGCTAGATGCCACAGCGGGGTTCTGGCAGATCCCGCTACACACAAACTCAGCCCCGCTCACCACCTTCATAACACCTTTTTGGAAGGTATCGTTTCAGCAGGCTCCTCTTTGGAATATCATCAGCACCAGAGCACTTGCAGAAATGCATCACCCAAATGCTGGATGGACTGGAAAGAAGCGTATGCCATGCAGACGACATCCTGGTGTTCTGACAAATATGGGAAAAGAAGCACCAACGACTGCAGAAAGTACTGGAGAGACTTCAAGAGCAGGGGCTGACACGCAGCGAGAAATGTCAGTTTGCAGTGGAGCAGGTAAAGTTTCTGGGTCATGTCATACAGACTGAGATGCCAGTGCCCAAAGACATCACATATGTTCAATGCTTCATGGGCATGGTGAACTACGACAAAGTTATCTCCAAACATTGCAGAACTGACAAACCCAATCAGGGACCTCCTGAAAGCTGACAAGAACTAGATGTGGGACTGTGCACAGCAAACAGCGTTTGAGAAATGCAAACAGAACTGAGTTGTCCTGCAGTTCTTGCACAATACTGCCCTGACGAGCAGACAAGTGTCTGCAGATGCATCCTCATATGGACTGGACGGAGTCCTTAGTTTCCCAACTGTCACAGTCGGTTGAGTGGAGGCCTGTGGCCTTCATATCATGCAGTATGATAGAGACGGAGCGCAGATACGCTCAAATTGAGAAGGAGACTCTTGCTGTTACCTGGGCTTGTGAGTGTTTCCAAACTTAGGCACCTGCCAGGGTTGGACTTCATGATCAGAACAGGCCTCTTATTTCATGCCTAGGCACAAGAGCGCTGGATGATCTATCTCCTCGCATACTGAGATTCTGACTCAGGCTAATACGCTTCCCCTATCGGATCATGCACGTCCCAGGCAAGAATTTGGTGACAGCCGATGCTCTCTCGAGCTCCACTCCCGGGGGCACTTACTGAGAAAGACATGACACGGGAGATGGACGTCAAACCTACATCAACCACATCATCCAACAGTTAGTTACCTGCAACAGACACAAAGCTGAGTGAACTACAGAGAGCCCAAGAAGAGGTTGAGGTGTGTAAATAGTTTTTAAAAACCCTCATATAGACAAAGTGGACAAACAGAAAAGCAGCCCCACCCCAACTTCAACCATGCTGGCAACGCAGACAGGACCTCTTGAGGGCGGATGGCTTGCTAATGAAGGGCAACAGAATGGTCAACAATGCAACAAGAAATGCTGGAGCCAGGACATCAAGTGCATGGCAAGAGCACAGCTGTCAGTTTGGTGGCCAGGCCTGTCTAAACCGATCAAGGAGACTGTGAGCCAATGTGAGACTTGTGCAAAGGAAAGCTACAATGCTCCAGAACCTCTGACGCGCCTCTAAATAATAATAGTAATTTGGTGGGTGCTTATATTTGTCCTTTTACACACATGTACAAGTGTGTATTATACGCATGTGTGAATTGGAAATGTAATTCCCAACACTCCCTGAGACATCAATCAATCAATCACATGTATTTATAAAGCCCTTTTTACATCAGCAGATGTCACAAAGTACTATACAGAAACCCAGCCTAAAACCCCAAACATCCTCGGAGAGTGGGGTCACGGCCAGGTTCAGCCATGATCAACGGCAACCCTGGAAGCAATTAGGGTTATGTGCCTTGCTCACAGATTTTTCACCTTGTCAGCTTGGGGATTCAAACTAGTGACCTTTTGGTTACTGGCCCAACGCGCTAACCACCAGGCTACCTGTGGCCCTAACCTCACGACCACGACAGAAACTTATCTCGCTACATTGAGGTAGCCACTCTGACCACAATCACAACTGTTACAGAGAGGGTGAAAGCAATCTTTGGGAGACATGGGGTCCATGTGACCCTAGTGACAGACCATGGACCCCAGTTCTCATGTGACAAGTAGTCCACGATACCCCCAGAGCAATGGCGAAGCAGAGCGGGCGGTGAACTGTGAAGCCCTTGCTGAAAACTGAGACAATCCTCACAAAGCGCTCATGGTGTACCATGCCACCCCTCTGGCTCATGGTGCGTCCGAACTCAGCTGCTGATGTGGCGCAACATCAGAACTCCCTTGCCAGTCATTCAATCTCAACTCAAACCTGAGTGGCCAGACCTCAAGTCCTTTGAGAGGAAGGATAGGGAAATGAAGGACAAAAAAGCTGCCTGGTACAACAGACGACGGAGAACGCAGGAACGACCAAACCTTGTTCCGGGACAACGAGTCTGGATCAAGAACGTCCCCAGCATTGGCACAGTCAGCAGCTCGGCAGAGACTAAAAAAATCCTACAACATGGAGACGCCAATAGGCAGCCAGGGAAGAAACAGGTGTCAGCTACATGTCACCCCACAGAGCGTCCTACCAGACAACCCCACGACCACAAGTTCTAGTTGCATCATAAGACCTCCTTTGAGGATGAACTTATAGAGACACATAGCTGTGTGATCAAGGGCCAGAATAACCCCCTACCACAGCTTAGAGGTTCAGGTAGTCTACCCTGGCTTCTGAAAATAAATGTTCCTGAAAAAGAAATTGGTTAAAGCTGCAATATGTAACTTTTTGGGCGACCCGACCAAATTCACATAGAAATGTGAGTTATAGATCTGTCATTCTCATTGAAAGCAAGTCTAAGAAGCCATAGATCTGTTCTGTATGCGCTGTTTCTATGCTTCCCTTTCTTAAGTTTTAGTTTTTGCGTCTTTTACTTTAGGTTTTGTACACCAGCTTCAAACAGCTGAAAATACAATATTTTTGGTTATTGAAAATATATTTCACAGCGGTACTTGCTTGTTTTGTCACAAACTGAAATGAGGCAAACTATTAGAATTTTAGCGACCAGGAAATGGTGGAGCGATTTCTGCATATTGCACCTTTAAAAAAAGTTTTTATCTCAAGTTCCTGAAAAGTGTCTTGATTAAATCTGTCTTTACAAAAAGGAGGACGTGTAATGGTGCGCATTAATACATGTATACAGTATACGCATGGATACATGCAGGGGGAGTAATAAAGCACAGGTTAAGTTCAACCACCTCTCCTGTGTCTCTGTTCAGTCCTAAACTCACAGTGGAGAGAGGGCGTGAGAGCTGGCAGGGAAACAGGTAGGCCTACAGGGCAGATACGTTCATTGCATGAATCAGGATAATGGACATTAATGTTCACCAAAAGGTTTTTAGAACCCAAAAATCTGCAGGAACGTTGTGTAGCCTAATCTCCAAAAATTACCAATGTGCGCAAAATGTTTCGTTAAGTGGAAGGCAATGTCTGTGTCTGTAATATTTAGTTTAATCGTCCCAGCTCTTAAGGCCATACTTAACATTTACAAATGCATTAGACATTAGTGATGGGGGAAAAATCAATACAGTTACATATCACAATATTATTTTAGATGATATTGTATCGATACTTTGACTAGGTAATTGATACTTTTTGGCTAGATAATGTTAGCTAGCGCTAGTCGGCTGTACCTGGGCCAAACTACTGTATTTTTCATCCTATATCTTGTTCTTTAAAAAAAATAGTGAGCCATCATGTTTTCAACGCTTTTATTTCCATGACTGATAAACTCTAATGCTCTCGTCTCTCTGCAGCAGACATATAGTGAGCAATATGTTTCGAACATGAAATCGCAATAAAATCGCAGTATGGAATTGCAATGCATATAGAATGTCGCATCAGTACCTAAATATCGTGATAATATCATATCGTGAGGTCCCTGGCAATTCCCAGCCCTATTAGACATGCATTGAATATTTTACTTGTAGGCAGGGATGACATTTGGCCAGTTTGGTGTTTTTATTGACAATCGCCCTTTGTTTTTTTCCAGGATTACATAGTTTCCTTAACTTCGCCAGCTCACCTAAAGAGGGAGCATCTAACATTGGCTCAACACAAACAGCTGGTTGCGCTGAAGCCAGCCATCGAGTATGACTCTCAGGCTGTGGTGGAGGTGAGGGAGCATGTGGTGGACATCTCCGGTGGCGAGAGGAACGTAATGACGGCATGGTCGATGGTGGAGAAGATCAAAATGGAGAAACACCCTTACAGGGAAGAGGCCCCTGAGCTGACTGAGGCCCAGCAGCCCAGTGGGGAGTCGGAGGAGGGGAACAGCTCAGAGAGCGAGTCAGAGCATCAGCTGCAGGTGAACAGGGGCAGCTGTAAGAGGAAGGAGCTCTTCAGTGCCACCAAGCCTCACCGTCAGCTCTGTCGCTCTCCATGTCTGGACCGGCCCAGCTTCTCCCAGAGCAGCACTCTACCAGAGCTCCGCCCTGACGACACCAAGGCCGCCGCAGTGCTCAAACATGCCAGCGACAAGGTGTACCAAACCAAGATGGAGTTTGCCTTGAAGCTGGGATACTCAGGTGAACAGGTGGAGACAGTGCTGAACAAATTAGGGGCTTCTGCCCTTATCAATGATATTCTGGCTGAGCTTGTGAGGCTTGGTAATAAAGGTGAACCGGAAGTTCAAGCCAGTAGTAATACAGGCACGTTGGTCTCCCGTGGAGGCCCCTGTGTCAAAGAGGCTGTCAGTCCGGAGTTGTCACTTGAAGATGATTCCGTGGATCCTTATGATAATCTCAGGCCTATCGTCATTGATGGATCGAACGTGGCAATGAGGTAAGTCTCTTTTAGAATGTGGCAATGAGGTAAGTCTCATTTTGTACCTCACCTCATGCAGAATGTGTTCTGAACCATCTGTTTTTCAATGGCTGTACTTGAATTACCTTTACAAGCAGACCTTTTTACTATGTGGTTGTTTTGTTTTGTAGCCATGGAAACAAAGAGGTTTTCTCTTGCCTTGGTATCCAATTGGCTGTTGATTGGTTTGTGGAGAAAGGACACAAAGACATCACAGTGTTTGTTCCTGCCTGGAGGAAAGAGCAGTCGAGACCTGATGCCCCCATTACAGGTACTAAAGCTCTACTTCATTTAGACGTGCCTGCCCGAGATATTTTCTAAAAAGGTTGTCTATGTTTTGGGGGGGAGTGTGTGTGTTTTTTTATTTTATCAACGTGTGTGAACATTGAGCTCAATTATCCCCGTGCAAAAAAAGCACCCACTGTGAGCAAAATAACTGTTACCATTTTAAATGGATGACGTTAAGCCGCAATTAATTTGTTTGTTTACAAATGTAATGCATATGAAAATCTCAATGTGGAATCACGCAAACCACAGGTACATAGGCCTACAGAGTTCCGTGTAACAATTTGTACGCTGCTGTTCTTGACTGATGTTTTAACTTTCATTTCACAGACCAAGATATTTTGCGGAAGCTGGAGAAAGAAAAGATCCTAGTGTTCACCCCATCTCGGAGGGTCCAGGGAAGGAGAGTGGTGTGCTACGATGATCGCTTTATAGTGAAGCTGGCCTGTGACTCTGATGGCATTATTGTGTCAAATGACAACTACAGGGACTTACAGAACGAGAAGCCGGAGTGGAAGAAGTTCATAGAGGAGCGGCTGCTGATGTACTCGTTTGTCAATGATAAGTAAGTCATCAAAGCCCTTACTTGGGTAATGAGTGTAATTCACTACAGAATAACTAAGCATATTCTCTTTTTATGTTTTAGATTCATGCCACCTGATGATCCTTTGGGAAGACATGGTCCAAGTTTAGAGAATTTTCTCCGCAAGCGTCCTGTTGTTCCAGAGCACAAAAAGCAACCTTGTCCATATGGTAGATTGTCTCAACAAATAATTATATTGTAATTTTGTGGTTGTACTGCTGATGTACAAATTGTTCAATTTGTGCTCTCTTTTATATCACCTTAAACAGGGAAAAAATGCACTTATGGACATAAGTGCAAGTACTACCACCCAGAGCGTGCAAACCAGCCCCAGCGGTCAGTGGCTGATGAACTGAGGGCGTTTGCCAAGTTGTCTGCTGTGAAGACAATGAGCGAGGGGGCCCTGGCCAAGTGTGGCACTGGACCCGCCACAGCTAAGGGGGAGAGTGGCTCTGAGGCTAAACGTGTGGCCCCCAAGCGCCAGTCTGACCCCAGCATCCGCTCAGTCACCTGCGAGCCAGAGGAGAGACTGTCCGCTGTCCGTAAGCCTGAGGCAAATTCTGTGCCTTCCCTCGTGTCTGCCCTCAGCGTGCCCACCATGCAGCCTGCAAAGAGCCACGCGGCTGGTGCCTTGAACACACGATCAGCCAGCAGCCCAGTGCCCGGCTCCCTCCAGTTCACCCACAGCTCACTGGAGCACATGTCTAGTGTACAGTACCCACACCCACCCATCCTAGTCACCAACAGCCATGGCGCTTCTGTCACTTACAGTGAACAGTTTCCTAAGTACGATTCTGTGAGCACGGACCATGGATACTACTCCATGCTTAGTGAGTTTTCTAACATGAGCATGAGCAGCATGCACAACGTAGACAGCTTCTGTAGCATGGAGCATGAGCACGGGGTTTATCCGAGAAATCCCAGCCAGCATTGCCCTGAGCCCTGCCTCAGCCATTCTAACAGTGACTCCTTTTCCTCTTATGGGGAATTATACATGAGCTCAGTGGACAGTAGCCTGGATGAGAGCATGAAGGGACAGCAGTCTCCTGCACAGAGCAGACTCCAGGCCTTCTCCCATGGGGGGTTCCATCACGAGGCCCTGACCCGGGTGCAGAGCTATGGCCATGAGGAGCCCAAGCAGGGTCCAAGCAGGAAGCAGTCCATATCCCACCTGACACCGCATGTCCAGCACCCTGTTGTTGGGGCCCGGTCCAGCTGCCCAGGGGACTACCCCTTACCTCAGAATGTCCTACCGTCACAGTCCTCGCAGCCGGGACGCTCCCTGGGCATGACACGTATGGACAGCATCTCAGACTCCAGGCTGTACGAGAGTAACCCCATGAGGCAGCGTAGACCCCCACTGTGCCGCGAACAGCACGCCAGCTGGGACCCGCTGCCCTGTGGCAGTGAGTCCTATGGATACCACTCGTACCCCCTGAGTAACAGCCTGATGCAGCCGTGTTGTGAGCGGGTGATGGTCCGCAGCATGCCTGACAAGATGGAGCAGATCTGGAGGTCTCCGTGGGAGAACCCGCCTCAAGCCGAGCACCAGGAGCGCCATGTCATCCCAGAGCACCAGTACCAAACATACCGCAACCTCTGCAACATCTTCCCCGCTTTCGTGGTGCACTCTGTCATGGAGAAAAACCCTCATCTGACGGACCCACAACAACTCGCTGCCGTCATTGTCACGAAGCTGAGGTCTTGCCATTGAGTATTTTCATTTTATTTTTGAAGCTACAATTGTCTGAATAGTATTACCGTAGTACTCTGCATTTGAAGTAAGTTATTTGATTGTCATCCAAACAATTTGTCCTCATGAAATTCACAAATGTAAGGGAAAACTTTGACTGATGGTAAGATTTTGAATTTGAACATAGTCGTCCTTTTAATACATAGCGGAATTATTTTACTATACGTAGATTATATTGTGCATATCTGACAATGCTGTAAATACTACGTGACTTAGTTGTTTATTGTGTAATTATTATTTTTGGGTAAAAGACAGAGGGAAGTGAGTGCAAGCATACCTCAGAGCATGAACTTTGACATTTAATGGCCTTATATCTGAATGACCTCACTGCTCCAGTCATTGTTTAACGGGTTTCAATTAATATCCTAATGTAGTTGAGTTCAGTCTCCTTTGCGTTTTAAATGTTAAGCACTAAGTATTTAGAATAATATATATTTTCTCAATCTCACTTTACAAAGCTACTATTTTGGTAGAACTTGCGAGTGCACGTACATAAGCAAGCCAAACTACAACTGGGAAAGATTATACGGTACTTAAAACATCTGTGCACATATAAAACACATGAAAGCCATTTAAAAGACATTTAAAAGCTGCTGAAATAATGCCAAAAATATAGAGAATTAACCTTGTCATTATAAAGCAATCGTAGTTTTGATGCAGACAATTGATTGGGTAGTAGTGTAACATCACATCAGTGTTGTAAGACTTAACCGTTGATGGATTGTATGGCTGGCTGTGTTGATTAGTTACCTTAATGTAACTGTTACATGGAAATGCTTGGGAACGCTTTTGAGCGTGTATATATCCTTGTCTTGCACCTTGGGACCTGGCATGTGACTTGATGGCACATTCAGTGTGTTTAACGTGACTTATATTTGTAATTACTAAGGAACTGGTGAAATCTCATCGGCAAAATGCTTTAAAGAAAAGCATCCATTTCCTTATTAATGCTGAGAGACAAGCCATGTAAATGAACACATGTAAAGAAAACGAAAACATCTCTGAATGTTATTTGCCCAAAAGATTTTTCGGGCTTTGTTGACTTTGTTTTTTCATGAGCTAAGAGCAGGCCATGTTGGGCCTCTTGTCTCTTCATGAGAAGGTGTGACACACTGCCTTGATGTTTCTTCCTGTGAAACACTCAGAATGCGAGGCTGCCGTCAGGGTTGTTTCTGGCATTTGGCTTACAGTTTGCGTGCCTACCTTACCCCTCACTACTTTCCCTCAAGTTTGAAAGGCTTTATAATGATTGATAATGGTAAAGAAATAAAGACCCCCCCCCCCCCCCCACACACACACACACACACACACACACACACACACACACACACACACACACACACTCTCTTACACTAAGTGACATAAAAGTAGAAATAGACTACTGAAATGTAAAATGGATGTGAAATGTGTTGTTTATAATGTAATCTTTATAGACTTTCACGAAATCATGTTTCTTTTCTCAGTGAGTAAAATATAATGAACTGAAATCAAGGTCTTGGGCCATATCCAATGCACATTAGTATTTAGTTTATTTTGACATAGCATATGCATCTTTCATACTTTTGTTGAGAGCAGAAAGCCCCCCCCCCCCCCCCCTCGCCTTTTGAAGTGCCGCAAACAACAAAGCCTAAAATGTCTAGAAATGACATTTGTTTGTTGATACAAATTGTATCTATTTCTTGATTGTAAAATATATTTATGAAATGTACAATATATTATACAAATTGTTTTATTTAAGAAGAAAAAAATACAATGCCATAATGTTTGTGACACTGTGTGTCACTGGGAGTAGCCCATTGGTATGTACTATTTCTTACTGGGCACAGTAGTTTATTTACAGGGACACTTACGTGCTACATAGAAGTGCACAGATACCCTGTGTGTAGCTGTAAGCATTGTGTCCTCGTGTGTGTGTGTGTGTGTGTGTGTGTGTGTGTGTGTATACTGAAATTACCACTCAACGTACAGTTTTAATGTGCTATTAAACTTGTTGCATTAAAGTTTTTTGCTGTGTTGTAACCCAAGCAGCTTGGTAAAAAATAACAATGAGACCCCTCTATAACTTTTGATCCACATCTGCTCTTTTCCTGCATTGATACCATCCGTATTTAAATGTATTGACATATAGACATTGAAAAACATGCCAAATCTGGTTACATTTTAGTTGCTGCACAGAAAACTGAATAGGTTGCAATGCCAGTCATAATTGCTTGGGTTATGACACTTGGGGGGTTATTTGTTAAATAAATACTATAAAGAAAAAATGGATTTGACCCACATAATACTATATTTAATTCTTAGGCTACTGACACAGTAAAGTCAAGTGACTGTGTGTCAGTATGATTAAGTGAGTATTTATGAGACAGGTAATTTGTATTACCTCTGATTGGACAAGGGTAAAAGTGTGGAAAGGGATTTGATGAATAACCCTCTTTTTTGGTGACAAGATTATATCTTTATTGATTTATGGTTTACTTTGGAAATCTGTCATTCTCACCAATGGCACTTGATCTAGCCTTAAGTATTTTAAAGCATGTGAGAGTATATTGGTTTTAGTTATATGTTTCAAATGAGAAATGTTATTTTAGCCGTGAGCATTTGTAATTACATTTAAATTTAAAAGATAGGCCTATGTTTGTGATGACTGACTGATTTCAGTCTTCTTTATCATGATATTGGTGGTCTGAGCAATTAGGCTTGCGGTTGATTTTATTGTTGGAATTGAACTCAGCAGGTAGAGGTTTGAAAAGCTACAGATATTTTCAATGTGTAGATTAACCTTGAATCAATGTTCTAAATATACCAGCTCACCTGAAATTGTATATTCACCCACAATAGCAATTCTCAGGTACTATGAGATTTACTACGAATTACTTCAGAAACAATATTCTTGATGTGTGCTATTATTATAAACGATAAATGCGCTTACAAAGTCAGATTTGTGAATTAGTTCAGGTCTCATGTCCTAAAGCTAAATTGAACTGTCTTGTATTGTGGTTTTGCAATGTAAAAGGGTTATAAGAGTGAGTTGACAACTAGGTCGTGTTATGAGCTGCAGTAGTTTGTTCTATTCTATGTTGAATGAAACACATTGCTTTTAAATTGTTTTAAGTAACAAAACAATTACCAAAAGACAAAAACACTGAACTCTTTGGGTCTGTTGGCTCAAACAAAATGTAAGTCTCAATGACCAAGTGTGTTTGTTTCCTCAAATAAAGCAAAACTATGTTTATACAGTGTTATTCTGTTGGCCCTATCAAGCATTTAATCTTCTTTCAGATGTCAGATTTCTAACAGCATTTTGATATTGTACAGCAGTCCCTCATCCAAGGGCCAGCAGAGGGGTGCAGGATGGCTGAGGAGAGCTTGCAAGTATCCAGCTCATGTCTGCAAAGTAGTGTACTGTGTACTCTACTCTGTATCCTGTACATATGACAAATTAACTTTGATTTATGTGCCACTAGATTTTGAAAACCGTGTTCTGACTGACTATAACTCATAAGAATTTGTCAGTTGTAATTCTGATACATATTAGTGGCATAAAAGGGATGAGGGGAACCTTATGTTTGTATTTTATTGCAAGGAATTGAATATTTTAAATAAAGTGAATGTTTTCAGTACTCAAAAGTACTTTTATTTGAAAACAAAAACCTGCTTTTGGCATGTCAGAGTAAAAACAATACAATGTTTTTGCAGATGAAAATCAGTGACAGTGAAGGCCTTTATTTTACAGTATTGGCATATTTGTTTAAAACAGTTGCAGACCAGCTTTCAATTTGCTGAGATCATTTTGTGTCCAGAGAAGCCCATCAGTGAAGACTCGGTGAGGCATTGAGACCCTGTAGAAAGATTAACAGAAACATTACTGATCAGATAAAGTAAGCACAATTTTAGTGATGGTTGATCTATTGCTTACTCAGATGGGTTGGCTGAAAACGATGTGCGTGCTTCCATTGGGCAGAAATCAGCCTGTTGTTGTGATTATGAATGGCCAGATTGATAGCAAGAATGACAAGAAACTGCCATGTGTGGAATCGTAAGTGACTCGTTTCAGCTTGTTTCATCTTGTTATTATTACCATGTCTTGTTTTGAGGTGTTTTGAGTGATTTTATGTCAATGCTAAAATTTGCTAGCTAGCGAACCAACAACTGTAAAGATGTATTTGAGAAACAAGTGGTCATTGTGCAAATGTATTTATGTTTTCAATAAACAGTGGAGACTAAATATAGCTTAAATGTTGTCAACAATGTAAGCCAGCCAACTTCATCTGTTTTGCCCCATGGTTGTTAAACAACCAACCCCTCTATATTCATAGTTCTATTTCTATGGAAGCCTACTGATTTACAGTATAACTGATATTGTTTTGTTGTTTCTTAGCCTGCATGTGCATTGTGCTGACTGGCATTCTCCATCTCAACCTGCTGGTCAAACACAGTCATGGTAGAGAAGTAATTCACCATCAGGCAGGAAGGGTCCTCAGACTGGCCTGGGACTTTCCCTAGGGTTCTTCCACTGGAGTTTGTCTAAACAGGTGAGAAAACACAACATGCATTGTAAGTTGATTATTGCTTATCAATACAAATCTATTTAGATATAATGAAATAACATGGAATCAGAATATCCAATCACTTTCATGTTCTGCAAATTGCCATGACAACTGAACTGACCTGTGCAAACTTGCCAGGGAGAACCCCTGAGTTCCGCGGCCTTCTCGGACAGGGCATCTGGCTTACAGTTTGCGTGCCTACCTTACCCCTCACTACTTTCTCTCAAGTTTGAAAGGCTTTATAATGATTCATAACACACACACACACACACACACACACACTCTTACACTAAGTGACATAAAAGTAGAAATAGACTACTGAAATGTAAAATGGATGTGAAATGTGTTGTTTATAATGTAATCTTTATAGACTTTCACGGAATCATGTTTCTTTTCTCAGTGAGTAAAATATAATGAACTGAAATCAAGGTCTTGGGCCATATCCAATGCACATTAGTATTTAGTTTATTTTGACATAGCATGTGCATGTTTCATACTTTTGTTGAGAGCAGAAAGCCCCCCCCCCCCCCCCTCGCCTTTTGAAGTGCCGCAAACAACAAAGCCTAAAATGTCTAGAAATGACATTTGTTTGTTGATACAAATTGTATATATTTCTTGATTGTAAAATATATTTATGAAATGTACAATATATTATACAAATTGTTTTATTTAAGAAGAAAAAAATACAATGCCATAATGTTTGTGACACTGTGTGTCACTGGGAGTAGCCCATTGGTATGTACTATTTCTTACTGGGCACAGTAGTTTATTTACAGGGACACTTACGTGCTACATAGAAGTGCACAGATACCCTGTGTGTAGCTGTAAGCATTGTGTCCTCGTGTGTGTGTGTGTGTGTGTGTGTGTGTGTGTGTGTGTGTGTGTGTGTGTATACTGAAATTACCACTCAACGTACAGTTTTAATGTGCTATTAAACTTGTTGCATTAAAGTTTTTTGCTGTGTTGTAACCCAAGCAGCTTGGTAAAAAATAACAATGAGACCCCTCTATAACTTTTGATCCACATCTGCTCTTTTCCTGCATTGATACCATCCGTATTTAAATGTATTGACATGTAGACATTGAAAAACATGCCAAATCTGGTTACATTTTAGTTGCTGCACAGAAAACTGAATAGGTTGCAATGCCAGTCATAATTGCTTGGGTTATGACACTTGGGGGGTTATTTGTTAAATAAATACTATAAAGAAAAAATGGATTTGACCCACATAATACTATATTTAATTCTTAGGCTACTGACACAGTAAAGTCAAGTGACTGTGTGTCAGTATGATTAAGTGAGTATTTATGAGACAGGTAATTTGTATTACCTCTGATTGGACAAGGGTAAAAGTGTGGAAAGGGATTTGATGAATAACCCTCTTTTTTGGTGACAAGATTATATCTTTATTGATTTATGGTTTACTTTGGAAATCTGTCATTCTCACCAATGGCACTTGATCTAGCCTTAAGTATTTTAAAGCATGTGAGAGTATATTGGTTTTAGTTATATGTTTCAAATGAGAAATGTTATTTTAGCCGTGAGCATTTGTAATTACATTTAAATTTAAAAGATAGGCCTATGTTTGTGATGACTGACTGATTTCAGTCTTCTTTATCATGATATTGGTGGTCTGAGCAATTAGGCTTGCGGTTGATTTTATTGTTGGAATTGAACTCAGCAGGTAGAGGTTTGAAAAGCTACAGATATTTTCAATGTGTAGATTAACCTTGAATCAATGTTCTAAATATACCAGCTCACCTGAAATTGTATATTCACCCACAATAGCAATTCTCAGGTACTATGAGATTTACTACGAATTACTTCAGAAACAATATTCTTGATGTGTGCTATTATTATAAACGATAAATGCGCTTACAAAGTCAGATTTGTGAATTAGTTCAGGTCTCATGTCCTAAAGCTAAATTGAACTGTCTTGTATTGTGGTTTTGCAATGTAAAAGGGTTATAAGAGTGAGTTGACAACTAGGTCGTGTTATGAGCTGCAGTAGTTTGTTCTATTCTATGTTGAATGAAACACATTGCTTTTAAATTGTTTTAAGTAACAAAACAATTACCAAAAGACAAAAACACTGAACTCTTTGGGTCTGTTGGCTCAAACAAAATGTAAGTCTCAATGACCAAGTGTGTTTGTTTCCTCAAATAAAGCAAAACTATGTTTATACAGTGTTATTCTGTTGGCCCTATCAAGCATTTAATCTTCTTTCAGATGTCAGATTTCTAACAGCATTTTGATATTGTACAGCAGTCCCTCATCCAAGGGCCAGCAGAGGGGTGCAGGATGGCTGAGGAGAGCTTGCAAGTATCCAGCTCATGTCTGCAAAGTAGTGTACTGTGTACTCTACTCTGTATCCTGTACATATGACAAATTAACTTTGATTTATGTGCCACTAGATTTTGAAAACAGTGTTCTGACTGACTATAATTCATAAGAATTTGTCAGTTGTAATTCTGATACATATTAGTGGCATAAAAGGGATGAGGGGAACCTTATGTTTGTATTTTATTGCAAGGAATTGAATATTTTAAATAAAGTGATAATGTTTTCAGTACTCAAAAGTACTTTTATTTGAAAACAAAAACCTGCTTTTGGCATGTCAGAGTAAAAACAATACAATGTTTTTGCAGATGAACATCAGTGACCGTGAAGGCCTTTATTTTACAGTATTGGCATATTTGTTTAAAACAGTTGCAGACCAGCTTTCAATTTGCTGAGATCATTTTGTGTCCAGAGAAGCCCATCAGTGAAGACTCGGTGAGGCATTGAGACCCTGTAGAAAGATTAACAGAAACATTACTGATCAGATAAAGTAAGCACAATTTTAGTGATGGTTGATCTATTGCTTACTCAGATGGGTTGGCTGAAAACGATGTGCGTGCTTCCATTGGGCAGAAATCAGCCTGTTGTTGTGATTATGAATGGCCAGATTGATAGCAAGAATGACAAGAAACTGCCATGTGTGGAATCGTAAGTGACTCGTTTCAGCTTGTTTCATCTTGTTATTATTACCATGTCTTGTTTTGAGGTGTTTTGAGTGATTTTATGTCAATGCTAAAATTTGCTAGCTAGCGAACCAACAACTGTAAAGATGTATTTGAGAAACAAGTGGTCATTGTGCAAATGTATTTATGTTTTCAATAAACAGTGGAGACTAAATATAGCTTAAATGTTGTCAACAATGTAAGCCAGCCAACTTCATCTGTTTTGCCCCATGGTTGTTAAACAACCAACCCCTCTATATTCATAGTTCTATTTCTATGGAAGCCTACTGATTTACAGTATAACTGATATTGTTTTGTTGTTTCTTAGCCTGCATGTGCATTGTGCTGACTGGCATTCTCCATCTCAACCTGCTGGTCAAACACAGTCATGGTAGAGAAGTAATTCACCATCAGGCAGGAAGGGTCCTCAGACTGGCCTGGGACTTTCCCTAGGGTTCTTCCACTGGAGTTTGTCTAAACAGGTGAGAAAACACAACATGCATTGTAAGTTGATTATTGCTTATCAATACAAATCTATTTAGATATAATGAAATAACATGGAATCAGAATATCCAATCACTTTCATGTTCTGCAAATTGCCATGACAACTGAACTGACCTGTGCAAACTTGCCAGGGAGAACCCCTGAGTTCCGCGGCCTTCTCGGACAGGGCATCTGGCTTACAGTTTGCGTGCCTACCTTACCCCTCACTACTTTCTCTCAAGTTTGAAAGGCTTTATAATGATTCATAACACACACACACACACACACACACACACACACACACTCTTACACTAAGTGACATAAAAGTAGAAATAGACTACTGAAATGTAAAATGGATGTGAAATGTGTTGTTTATAATGTAATCTTTATAGACTTTCACGGAATCATGTTTCTTTTCTCAGTGAGTAAAATATAATGAACTGAAATCAAGGTCTTGGGCCATATCCAATGCACATTAGTATTTAGTTTATTTTGACATAGCATGTGCATGTTTCATACTTTTGTTGAGAGCAGAAAGCCCCCCCCCCCCCCCCCTCGCCTTTTGAAGTGCCGCAAACAACAAAGCCTAAAATGTCTAGAAATGACATTTGTTTGTTGATACAAATTGTATCTATTTCTTGATTGTAAAATATATTTATGAAATGTACAATATATTATACAAATTGTTTTATTTAAGAAGAAAAAAATACAATGCCATAATGTTTGTGACACTGTGTGTCACTGGGAGTAGCCCATTGGTATGTACTATTTCTTACTGGGCACAGTAGTTTATTTACAGGGACACTTACGTGCTACATAGAAGTGCACAGATACCCTGTGTGTAGCTGTAAGCATTGTGTCCTCGTGTGTGTGTGTGTGTGTGTGTGTGTGTGTGTGTGTATACTGAAATTACCACTCAACGTACAGTTTTAATGTGCTATTAAACTTGTTGCATTAAAGTTTTTTGCTGTGTTGTAACCCAAGCAGCTTGGTAAAAAATAACAATGAGACCCCTCTATAACTTTTGATCCACATCTGCTCTTTTCCTGCATTGATACCATCCGTATTTAAATGTATTGACATGTAGACATTGAAAAACATGCCAAATCTGGTTACATTTTAGTTGCTGCACAGAAAACTGAATAGGTTGCAATGCCAGTCATAATTGCTTGGGTTATGACACTTGGGGGGTTATTTGTTAAATAAATACTATAAAGAAAAAATGGATTTGACCCACATAATACTATATTTAATTCTTAGGCTACTGACACAGTAAAGTCAAGTGACTGTGTGTCAGTATGATTAAGTGAGTATTTATGAGACAGGTAATTTGTATTACCTCTGATTGGACAAGGGTAAAAGTGTGGAAAGGGATTTGATGAATAACCCTCTTTTTTGGTGACAAGATTATATCTTTATTGATTTATGGTTTACTTTGGAAATCTGTCATTCTCACCAATGGCACTTGATCTAGCCTTAAGTATTTTAAAGCATGTGAGAGTATATTGGTTTTAGTTATATGTTTCAAATGATAAATGTTATTTTAGCCGTGAGCATTTGTAATTACATTTAAATTTAAAAGATAGGCCTATGTTTGTGATGACTGACTGATTTCAGTCTTCTTTATCATGATATTGGTGGTCTGAGCAATTAGGCTTGCGGTTGATTTTATTGTTGGAATTGAACTCAGCAGGTAGAGGTTTGAAAAGCTACAGATATTTTCAATGTGTAGATTAACCTTGAATCAATGTTCTAAATATACCAGCTCACCTGAAATTGTATATTCACCCACAATAGCAATTCTCAGGTACTATGAGATTTACTACGAATTACTTCAGAAACAATATTCTTGATGTGTGCTATTATTATAAACGATAAATGCGCTTACAAAGTCAGATTTGTGAATTAGTTCAGGTCTCATGTCCTAAAGCTAAATTGAACTGTCTTGTATTGTGGTTTTGCAATGTAAAAGGGTTATAAGAGTGAGTTGACAACTAGGTCGTGTTATGAGCTGCAGTAGTTTGTTCTATTCTATGTTGAATGAAACACATTGCTTTTAAATTGTTTTAAGTAACAAAACAATTACCAAAAGACAAAAACACTGAACTCTTTGGGTCTGTTGGCTCAAACAAAATGTAAGTCTCAATGACCAAGTGTGTTTGTTTCCTCAAATAAAGCAAAACTATGTTTATACAGTGTTATTCTGTTGGCCCTATCAAGCATTTAATCTTCTTTCAGATGTCAGATTTCTAACAGCATTTTGATATTGTACAGCAGTCCCTCATCCAAGGGCCAGCAGAGGGGTGCAGGATGGCTGAGGAGAGCTTGCAAGTATCCAGCTCATGTCTGCAAAGTAGTGTACTGTGTACTCTACTCTGTATCCTGTACATATGACAAATTAACTTTGATTTATGTGCCACTAGATTTTGAAAACAGTGTTCTGACTGACTATAATTCATAAGAATTTGTCAGTTGTAATTCTGATACATATTAGTGGCATAAAAGGGATGAGGGGAACCTTATGTTTGTATTTTATTGCAAGGAATTGAATATTTTAAATAAAGTGATAATGTTTTCAGTACTCAAAAGTACTTTTATTTGAAAACAAAAACCTGCTTTTGGCATGTCAGAGTAAAAACAATACAATGTTTTTGCAGATGAACATCAGTGACCGTGAAGGCCTTTATTTTACAGTATTGGCATATTTGTTTAAAACAGTTGCAGACCAGCTTTCAATTTGCTGAGATCATTTTGTGTCCAGAGAAGCCCATCAGTGAAGACTCGGTGAGGCATTGAGACCCTGTAGAAAGATTAACAGAAACATTACTGATCAGATAAAGTAAGCACAATTTTAGTGATGGTTGATCTATTGCTTACTCAGATGGGTTGGCTGAAAACGATGTGCGTGCTTCCATTGTGCAGAAATCAGCCTGTTGTTGTGATTATGAATGGCCAGATTGATAGCAAGAATGACAAGAAACTGCCATGTGTGGAATCGTAAGTGACTCGTTTCAGCTTGTTTCATCTTGTTATTATTACCATGTCTTGTTTTGAGGTGTTTTGAGTGATTTTATGTCAATGCTAAAATTTGCTAGCTAGCGAACCAACAACTGTAAAGATGTATTTGAGAAACAAGTGGTCATTGTGCAAATGTATTTATGTTTTCAATAAACAGTGGAGACTAAATATAGCTTAAATGTTGTCAACAATGTAAGCAAGCCAACTTCATCTGTTTTGCCCCATGGTTGTTAAACAACCAACCCCTCTATATTCATAGTTCTATTTCTATGGAAGCCTACTGATTTACAGTATAACTGATATTGTTTTGTTGTTTCTTAGCCTGCATGTGCATTGTGCTGACTGGCATTCTCCATCTCAACCTGCTGGTCAAACACAGTCATGGTAGAGAAGTAATTCACCATCAGGCAGGAAGGGTCCTCAGACTGGCCTGGGACTTTCCCTAGGGTTCTTCCACTGGAGTTTGTCTAAACAGGTGAGAAAACACAAAATGCATTGTAAGTTGATTATTGCTTATCAATACAAATCTATTTAGATATAATGAAATAACATGGAATCAGAATACCCAATCACTTTCATGTTCTGCAAATTGCCATGACAACTGAACTGACCTGTGCAAACTTGCCAGGGAGAACCCCTGAGTTCCGCGGCCTTCTCGGACAGGGCATCTGGGCTCAGATACTCTTGGACGTCCTCCGTCCTCTCTGGCTGGGCCTTGCATGGGTCAGACACGGTGCCTGGGCGCTTCGTGTGAACCTGGTGTCTGGACTGCAGCCGCAGACTCTCATGCAGGATCTTCAGGGTGTAGATACAGCTAGGGTGGCCTGAGTCTGCCCCCTGGGTGTAGATACTACTCAGTCTGAGTAGCTTCTGTCGGGTGTCCAAAGGCATCAGGTGCTCCATGTCCACCAGGATCCTAAAAGTTCAAACATTAAGTCATTTTCAAACATAATGGCAGAAAATGTATTTCATAAGCTCGTACAGCTCAGTAGAGAATACAATAAGTGATGTGTGTACATAATTAAGTCAGTTACTGCTGGAGCAGGTGAGGCATGGCCACGTAGGGAGCATTCAGACATGCTGCAAGGAGTTGCTGCCACCTCAGCTGGATACAATTCATGAAGATCTTGTCCTCCAGTCTGGCATTCCTTTGGCTTTTTGATTCATAACGGTATCAGGAAAATCTGGCACTGTTTTGTCTTTAAGCAGCCAGAAATGCAGGACGACTCGAGGGAGGCCGGGAGCAGTGGGGTAGGCATTATCTTAAAAAACAAATACATTATTCTCTCAGTAAGGTAAGTGTGTATGGCTTACAGTATTTTTGTCCCCAGTATTACTACAACATCCGTTAATCTATAAAATCAACATGGAATTTACACAAATATTTATTTTAAGGACTTTATTGGGGGAAAACAACCTAATCCCAGTCTTACCTAAGGGGTCAACACCAAGTGACTCCAGCTGTTCAATGGTTGGAACCATGACTCCATCCTCCATCAATGCATCTATTAGTATTTCACTATGTGGGAAAAAGAACAATGAGGACCTGGAGCTTTGTCATTTCAATAAAATGATTATTTGTTAAATACAATCTGATGCAGTTTGTCGCATTGACATAATCACTACAATACCAATGAATGTGTTAACTGACCTAGACTCTAGTGCAAAGTGCTTGATCTGGGCAAGGATCCAGCTCATGTCTGCAGAAGGTGCTGGCCACAATATCTTCGGTTTGTCCTCCTCTAGAAATCCTACACAACAAACGAACACAGCAATGATGACCAAGCTCACAATTCATGTTCTGGGACCGAATATACAGATCATATAATTGAAAAGAGAAATATAGTCTATAATTGCTATGGGTGCTATTGCCTCACAACCGAAAAACACACATGCCACCTGTTGATTGCATCCACCCTACCCCTCAACACAACGTAATGGCATCACAGTGAAAGGCTGGGATGAGTACATAACCATACGCTATAAAAATTACTCTAGAGTGATGTTAATAACAAAATGTATCTCTTGAGAGGCCCTCATGTATAGGTAGGGGAGAGGAGATGCTGTGCAGACTAGAGAACAGACAGAACGTCTTGACCCTCTTAATATAGGCAAATTGTTATGATGTGGTTATAAATGACATGATTAAATCAAATCAAATGTTATTGGTTGCGTACACATATTTTGCAGATGTAATCACGGGTGTAGTGAAATGCTTATGTTCTTAGCTCCAACAGTGCAGTAATACCTAACAATACAAAACAATACACGCAAAAAAAGAAAAGGAAAGGAATTTAGAAATATTAGAATGAGAAATGTCAGAATCTGGAATATAAATATAGTGTGCCTTCAGAAAGTATTCGTACCCCTTGACATATTCCACATCTTGTTGTGTTACAGCCTGAATTCAAAATGGATTAAATAGATTGTTTCTCATCCATCTACACACAATACCCCATAATGACAAAGTGAAAACATGTTTTTAGAAATGTTAGCAAATGTATTAAAAATGAAATATCTAATTTACATAAGTATTCACACCGCTGAATCAATACTCAGTAGAAGCACCTTTGGTGGTGATTACAGCAGTGTCTTTTTGGGTAAGTCTCTAAGAGCTTTGCACACCTGGATTGTACAATATTTGCCCATTTTATCATTTTTAAAAATTCTTCAAGCTCTGTCAAGTTGATTGTTCATTGCTAGACAGCCATTTTCAAGTCTTGTCATAGATTTTAAAGCCAATTTAAGTCAAAACTATAACTAGGCTACTCAGGAACATTCAATGTCGTCTTGGTAAGCAACTCCAATGTAGATTTGGCCTTATGTAGGTTATTGTCCTGCTGAAAGGTGAATTCGTCTCCCAGTGTCTGTTGGAAAGCAGACTGAACCAAGTTTTCCTCTAGGTTTTTGCCAGTGCTTACAGCTGTATTCCATTTATTTTTATCCTAAAAAACTCCCTAGTCCTTGCCGATGACAAGACTACACATAACATGATGCAGCCACCACCATGCTTGAAAATATGACGTGGTACTCAGTGATGTGTTGTGTTGGATTTGCCCCAAACATAACGCTTTGTATTCAGGACAAAAAGTTAATTTCCTTGCCACATTTTCCAGTATTAAGTGCCTTGTTGCAAACAGTATGCATGTTTTGGAATATTTTCATTCTGTACAAGCTTCCTTTTCACTCTGTCATTTAGGTTAGTATTGTGGAGTAACTACAATGTTGTTGATCCATCCTCAGTTATCATATCATAACCATTAAACTATATAACTGTTTTAAAATCCCCATTGGCCTCATGGTGAAATCCCTTAGCAGTTTCCTTCCTCTCCGGCAAATTAGTTAGGAAGGATGCCTGTACCTTTGTAGTGACTGGGTGTATTGATACACCATCCAAAGCCTAATTAATAACTTCACCATGCTCAAAGGGATATTCAGCATTAACCTATTTTAATTTTTACACATCTACCAATCAGTACCCTTCTTTGCGAGGCATTGAAAAACCTTCCTGGTCATTGTGGTTGAATTTGTGCTTAAAATTCACTATTCGATTGAGGGACCTTACAGATATTTGTATGTGTGGGGTATAGAGTTGGGGTAGTCATTCAAAAATCATGTTAACCACTATTATTGAACATGGAATGAGTCCATGCAACTTTGTTAAGCACATTTTTACTCCTGAATTTATTTAGGCTTGTCATAACAAAGGATTTAAATACTTATTGACTCAAGACATTTCAGCTTTGAATTGTTTATTAATAAAAAAAATCCACTTTGATATTATGGGGTATTGTGTGTAGATCAGTGACACAAAACCTACATTTTTAAACTCAGGCTGTAACACAACAAAATGTGGAAAAAGTAAAGGGGTGTGAATACTTTCTGAAGGCACTGTATACAGAGCATTCGTAAAGTATTCAGACCCCTTGACTTTTTCCACATTTTGTTATGTTACAGCCTTATACTAAAATGGATTAAATAGTTTTTTCCCCTCATCAATCTACACACAATACCCCATAATGACAAAGCAAAAACAGGTTTTTAGATTTTTTTTTGAATAAAAAACTGAAATAATACATTTACATAAGTATTCAAACCCTTTACTCAGCACTTTGTTGAAGTACCTTTGGCAGTGATTATGTAACAGTGTTGCTTCCGTCCCTCTCCTCGCCCCTACCTGGGCTCGAACCAGGGACCCTCTGCACACATCGACAACAGTCACCCTCGAAGCACCGTTACCCGTCGCTCCACAAAAGCCGCGGCCCTTGCAGAGCAAGGGAAACAACTACTTCAAGGTCTCAGAGCGAGTGACGTCACCGATTGAAATGCTACTAGCGCGCACCGCTAACTAGCTAGCCATTTCACACCGGTTACAATTACAGCCTCGAATCTTCTTGGGTATGACACTACAAGCTCGGCACACCTATATTTGTGGAGTTTCTCCCATTCTTCTCTGCAGATCCTCTCTAGCTATGTCAGGTTGGATGGGGAGTGTCACTGCACAGCTATTTTCAGGTCTCTCCAGAGATGTTCGATCGGGTTTAAGTCCGGGCTCTGGCTGGGACACTCAAGGACATTCAGACTTGTCCCGAAGCCACTCCTGCGTAGTCTTGGCTGTGTGCTTAGGGTCGTTGTCCTGCTGGAAGTTGAACCTTCGCTACAGTCTGAGGTCCTGAGCGCTCTGGAGCAGGTTTTCATCAAGGATCTCTCTGTACTTTAGTCTGTTCATCTTTCCCTCGATCCTGACTAGTCTCCCAGTCCCTGCCGCTGAAAAACATCCCCACAGCATGATGCTGCCACCACCATGCTTCACTGTAGGGATGGTGCCAGGTTTCCTCCAGACATGACGCTTGGCATTCAGGCCAAAGAGTTCAATCTTGGTTTCAACAGACAAAATAATTTTCTTTCTCATGGTCTGAGAGTCATTTAGGTGCCTTTTGGCAAACTCCAAGCGGTTTGTCATGTGCCTTTTACTGAGGAGTGGCTTCCGTCTGGCCACTCTACCATAAAGGCCTGATTGGTGGAGTGCTGCATAGATGGTTGTCCTTCTGGAAGGTTCTCCCATCTCCAGAGTGACCATCCGGTTCTTGGTCACCTCCCTGACCAAGGCCCTTCTCCCCCGATTGCTCAGTTTGGCTGGGCGGCCAGCTTTAGGAAGAGTCTTGGTGGTTCCAAACTTCTTCCATTTAAGAATGATGGAGGCCACTGTGTTCTTGGGGACCTTCAATGCTCCAGAAATGTTTTGGTACACTTCCCCAGATATGTGCCTCGACACAATACTGTATCGGAGCTCTACGGACAATTCCTTTGACCTCATGGCTTGGTTTTTGCTCTGACATGCACTGTCAACTGTGGGACCTTATATAGACAGGTGTGTGCCTTTCCAAATCATGTTCAATCAATTGAATTTACCACAGGTAATCAAGTTGTAGAAACATCTGAAGGATGATCAATGGAAACAGGATGCACCTGAGCTCAATTGAGAGGCTCATAGTAATGGGTTTGGATACTTCTGTAAATAAGGTATTTCAGTTTTTTATTTTTAATACATTAGCAAACATTTCTAAAAACCTGTTTTCGCTTTGTCATTATGGGGTATTGTGTGTAGATTGATGATTTAATCCATTTTAGAATAAGGCTGTAACGTAACAAAGTATGGAAAAAGGGAAGTGGTCTGAATACTTTCCGAATGCACTGTATAGTAAGACAGACGGGCGCTGTTTCGTTCTCTCGGACGCTTTCTCCGTTGAGAGACAGTGTAGTAGTTTCTTCTCCCGACAGTAGAGCCTGCTACATTCCTTCACCCGATAGTTGAAGGTGCCGTGCCCAGCTGATAATCACCACGATAATTGCCTCGAAACTGAACCGAAACTATACCGAAACTAATTTCACAGACATAACAACAGAGATGAAAGAAATTAAGTAAAGTATGATGGTGGAGAAAGGGGGAGAATTGGAGAATTGATGAGCGAGGGGAAGCGAATAATGCATAATTATGTAATCACCAATTGTGAATGAAGTACAGGGTGGGCAATTTTATTGTATTGATCCATTCTAATTATATATTATCTCAAAAGGGTATGTACCCTAAATCAGTCCACAGAATCCAAGCAGTTTTATCAGTCTACTCTGGTTTACTTGGATTAGGACTTCAAAGAGCGTGTGTAATTTACAATAGTAAGAAGACCAAGACGAATGGATGCACATGCTGCGTTGGCATTGCTACAAAATCTGAATGAAAACGACTCAGATGATGGGGAAGAAATTAATAATTATATCTCTGATGATTCTTCTTCTGATTCTGAGCCTCAGCCTGAACCTACACCTCCGAGGCCTTAGCGCAAAAAAAGCCAGAACGGTGCGCACTGCCTGTGCCACCAACAAATGAAACTGTGGCACCGTTTGGATTATCAGGATTATCAGCACAAAATGTCATCACTGAATAATATACGCCATTTAGCAGACACTTTTATCCAAAAGAGAGAGCAGGCCCTACATCTCAAGCAAAAAAACAACATCAGGAACGCACTCGCCAGCTTTCGTTGTTTGTGACATGGACATGCTCCAATTGATACCATTGCGTGAAGACACACAAACTGACAGTATCTACTGTCGTGTCATATTGACACTTATATTCATTATAATGCCATTATTGCTTTTGTGCTGATTTTCACTATTTATCAAGCACACTTGGCGCCTATACTGTAATGATGTTTAGGCTACTGATGTTTTCGTCTAAGCATCTTGCTGACCATACGTCTTGGTGGTTGGTGTTCCAACACATATGCTTTCTATTTCATAGTTGTAACAAAGACACCCCATGATTAAAATGTATTGAACACTTGAATTTGTGTTTTTACGTATCTTACAGTAACATAAACTAATGAAAATGCTTTTGTGTTATTTGCGTAAAAACCTAAGACCTTCATAAACAGCATATATTACGTGTATTAATTACACTGTTAGAATGAGCTTGAAGGGGGGTCCCTCGAGGCCCAGCGGTTCGAGTTTATTTTTAATTTCCATTGTGCACTGTACACATAGGAGGTCCCGTGAAAAAACGTGACCCCTTATGGAAATCAAATGCCCATCCAGCTGATTCATTCTGGCTCCAGCCCTGCAATCACCCTACATTGTTGATTGTGTGAGTATTATTTGTAACAACGATTGCAAACAATACAGCTGCCAACCTATCATGTGAGATAATGTAACATTTGAACATGACATGTGAGATAAACATTTTAACAAAGCGATTCACATAGAATTAGGACATGTCGTGTCCCGTCGGATGTTGGTGGCTATTGCTGTCAAACACAGAGTCTGCTTAGGCTGCACCGTGATTAGAAGCTTTTATTAATATCACAAGTTTACAGCATAAGTTACAGACCCGCGGTGTCTGGAGAAGCACCTTCCCAAATTAATCTGAATGCCTCTGCCCGCTCTTTGTCTAGGTCCTACTTATAAACAATGGCAATAAATGGGTTGCTCCCTTTTTCGTCCAATCACCTATCCCCCCTGGGGCGTCACCCTCCAACTGCTACATTTGAACTAAGATAAACAACATTCCATAATCCTAATACACTACAGACACTATGGCGATTCCTACCTCACGAACGCTGTTGCATAAAGGAAGACCAGGTCGTTAGTGTGAAGTTGTCCTGATCGGTCAAGTATCTGACATCTCACCAGGTCTGATGTGCTTTCTTGAGCGATGGGAGTGTTGTGGGCATACCTGACAAAATAAACCAAATTATGTGATAATACTTGCGTAAAAACACATCAAGGAACCGCTGTTTGTTCACCGGAAAACAGCTGTGAAACCTCACTTGAACACAAACTAGCTACAAGCTAAGCGAACACATATCAACTATTCTGTGATTATCTAACAAAATAGTCATTTTGCGACAGGATAACATTATCTGAAGATCAAATATGTGTAACCCTTACTCGGCCGGACCTAGCTATCTGTCCGGCTGGCACGACCTAGCTATTGGTCTGGCCGGCCGGACCTAGTTATCTTGCTGGCCGGACCAAGCTGTCTGGCGTGCCGGTCGGACCTATCTGTCTGGCCAGCCGGATGGACCTACCTGCCTTTCCACTCTGATATTCTGTGTAATGCATAGTTTTGTAATGCACAATCCTTTGAGTACAGGTACTCAACCACCTGGTCCCATTCTGCTTTGTTGACCCATGCAACTACATGGCCCTTCTTCTCTGTTGTTTTTTTCTTCATATTTACCAGCTAAAGAAACATCAGGAAGACCATTAAAGACAATAAATATTACGCTTTTACCAAATTAACTTACAGTACAAAACATGTAGCTAACCCAAAATGAATTATCCAATGCTAACCTGGGGTGTAATCATTAGTCTAAACAGTTGCAAAATGAAGGTTTCTATTGGACAAATTCAGGTAGGTCCCTCCCTGTTTCGTTCTGTTTGCTTCTGTTTAAGAATTGTTTTGCAAGATAATCGGTGTAATGAATAAGCCCCTGCTAACAGTATGCTAACCAGATATATTAGAGATAGGAGGAGATAGGAATCCCATTGGTAATAAATGGAGGAACGTGTAACAACTCACCCAGCAGACTGTCGACCAATTGTGTTGACGTTGTCATGCTGCGTCACGCGGTTGCTAAGCTAATCGTCACGCATGACCTTCTCGAAGTCAGGGTATGTGTCGAGAAACCTGCATATTTTCCTCTAAGGTACGTAATGTCACGATTCCACAGCTATACGATATTACAGAGAACAATAATTGTGATGTTGTTCTTCTTGTTGACGAAATTCATACTAATGTTGAGTTTTTAGCTAGCGCCCAATTGACTCCGATTCACTCTTTGTAGAATCGCCCAGAATGCACCGCGCGGCCCATTGACGAAGCAAGGCAACGTACACAATGGACGTTAATCCGAATTTTCCCATCTCCTCAAAAGTATCTCCACTGATAGAACAATGAGACGGATATTTCATCGGAAGTATAAATGTGAAGCATCCCGGTTGGCGTTATGGTGGTGAGAGGAAGCCCAGTGGTCGGCAGTGGGAGAAGTAGGAGCGAGATGGATTTTGGCTGACATTCTGAAAATGTTCTCATCGATGAAACATTTGATCTCAATACAGTTTTATGTTTCCAAAACTAGAGACTGTTACGAACAGAGTGTGCTAAGTTTTGTAGACGTTACCATTTGCCAAATTTCCAAAAATGGTGTTGTTTAGAAGGAGTAGGCATTCCCTGACGGAAATATGTAAATACATGCTAGAACGCACCAATAGGCTCTCGCTAACTGGTGCTTGGCTCTGCCCACCTCCTTGCTTGTTCTGCCCACTATGTTTAATTTGCTACCATTGGAAAGGACAGGCTGTGGTCTATCTTGGGCTAGTTATAAAAAATCTTCGGTATCTCTGTGCTAATACCACAGAGTTTCTAAACCCAGAGGCACAACATCGCAAGACTTCCGGGAACGCTTGCCAAACAGATCAGGCCGGGGTTTGGGGTTTAAGAAGTCAATGAGAGAAGGGAAAAAGTATTTCTTAGTCGTTAATGTCCTCGAAATCTAAAGGCACCACCTAGATTCTAGCCAATGTCTTAAGTAGTTGAAAATGTTATTACTCCAACCTCGTAAAAGTGACAAACTTACACGTTTTCATTTTCGTCAAAAACAACTTAATATCTAAGGAGTGCCTTTGATTTGACGACCTGCACATGCGCAGTTCGGCGCGAGACAACCGTTAGTCCCATGATGTGTTTCTACACGAGCTTTGCTAGCCAATGTCGCCATGACATCGCCTACAAGTGTGATCAGGGATTTCTATTGGAGAATCAGTTTTAGCTTATCTTCATAGTTTACCAAAGCTTTGTATAACTAACCCAAGATAGTCGAGACCGCTGCTCCCGAGTGGCGTATCGGTCTAAGCCACTGTATCTCAGTGCTTGAGGCGTCACTACAGACCCCCTGGTTTTATTCCAGGCTGTATCACAACCGGCCGTGATTGGGAGTTCCATAGGGCGGCGCACAATTGGCCCAGCGTCGTCCAGGTTTGGCCGGTGTAGGCCGTCTTTGTAAATAAGAATTTGTTCTTAACTGACTTGCCTAGTTAAATAAAAGTTGTCCACAGCCTGTCGTTTCCAATGGGAACACAATAGTCATAGTGGGCACAACAAGCAAGGAGGTCGGCAGAGCCAAGCACAAGCTAGCGAGATCCCATTGGCCCGTTCTAGCAAACATTTGCATATTTCCATTAGGGAACGCCTACTATGTGAGGTGCGCTTGTGCAATAACTCAATTTGCCTTTGCACTCCTTCTAAACAAGGCCATTTTTAAAAAACTTTGGCAAAGGGTAAAGTCTACAAAATGTAGTCCACTTTGTTCGTAACAGATTCTAATATTTCTTGAAATTTGAATAAAACCCCAGAAATAATAAGCAAATATAACAGGTAATGTCTAGTCTTCTATTCAATCATACAGTAATGAGGTGTAATTTATTGTCATAGGCCTGCTGGCTGTTGCGCATGCATGTAGGCTATACAGCCTAAATCATTGTGAATTATAGGCCTATGCAGGAAATCAAATATATTTTAGGCTACTATTATTATAGCTTTTGTACAGTACAGTCTATCTTACTGGTATCAACATTTGGCCCATATTCGTATGAGTAGTTACAGGCCTTTATATTAGGCCTTGGTCTATCCTATTTCTGTAATTATTTCAGTAGGTGTCCATATTTGTCCATGGGTCAGGGGAAGTGGAATGAGGCTGGATTCATTTTCAATAGATGGCAATGAGGTATTTGCATACACAAAAATTCACTTCATATGAAATTCAGATGATTGTATTGCTTGAAAGTCGACTTCAATAGGCCTGTGTTTCATATGGGTGGTACACATATGTAGGCCTAATTATGTGTCACAAGACAAAACTCCTCTGAGGTTGAATAATCCATTATAGAAATAGAGCTCTAGGTGTTTGTTGAAAAGAATAGGCAAAAGGCAATGGCGATTCTAATCAAATAAGATATCCGGTGTGCCTGTCCCAGAAACAGTGTCTCTTAGGTGACTTTAAAAATTGCATTATTATAGCTTGATAAACTGGAGTGAAATTAAATGGATATTGCTAGTAGCCTAGCTGCCTAGTTTTAGGGTATGCAGGAAATTATGTAAATCAGAATTATGTGGGATATCCTGGCTTTAATTTATAGTCCAGGAATTTATACTGAACAAAAATATAAACGCAACATGTACAGTGTTTCATGTTTCATGAGCTGAAATAAAAGATCCCTGAATTTTTCCATATGCACAAAAAGCGTATTTCTCTCAAATTTTGTGCACACATTTTTTTACATCCCTGTTAGTGAGCATTTCTCCTTTGCCAAGATAATCCATCCGACTGACCAGGTGTGGCATATCAAGAAGCTGAATAAACAGCATGATCATTACACAGGCACACCCTGTGCTGGGGACAATAAAAGTCCACTCTAAAATGTGCAGTTTTGTCACAACACAATGCTGCAGATGTCTCAAGTGTTGAGAGAGGGTTCAATTGGCATGCTGACTGCAGGAATGTCCACCAGAGCTGTTGCCAGAGAATGTAATGTTTATTTCTCTACCATATGCCACCTCCAACATCATTTTAGAGAATTTGGCAGTATGTCCAACCGGCAGACCATGTGTAACCACGCTAGCCCAGGACCTCCACATCCGGCTTCTTCACCTGCAGGATTGTCTGAGACCAACCACCTGGACAGCTGATGAAACTGAGGAGTATTTCTGTCGGTAATGAAGCCCTTTTGTGGGGAAATACTCATTCTGATTAGCTGGGCCTGGCTTCCCTGTGGGTGGGCCTATGCCCTCCCAGACACACCCATGGCTGTGCTCCTGCTCAGTTATGTGAAATCCATAGATTAGGGCCTAATTTATTTATTTCAATTGACCTATTTCCTTATATGAACTGTAACTCAGTAAAATCGTTGAAATTGTTGCAAGTTGCGCTTATATTTTTGTTCAGTATAGTTCAACTGCTCACGTTTAACTGGAGTTTTACAAAGGCATAACGGGTCATTGAGAATACAGGCGGAGTCTGCTGAAAACTCATTTTAGTATGTCTTCATTGCGTTGGGTGTGGTTTTTCAGTCACAGTGCCATTAGCAGGAAATCAAGCTCTGGACCACGACTTTGAGGCGAAACAAAGAACATAGTAAAATACGAGTAGCCTTCTTTAGGTTGTGGGAAAAGTTTGAAATCAAAGATTAACTAAACGTGACGGACGATTTTTCAGATTGCGCACCTTATCTAATGGACAAAAGTTTTAGTTGACTCCATTGTTATTATCGTCCAATTCCTGACATCAGTGACTAAAGACAGAGAACTGCAAAAATGCCAAAGACGGTGAGTAGCATTTTTTAGTGTGTGGGAACAGCTTATTTCTAATATTCACATATACATAGACGTTATTTAAAACGCCATCTCTGGTCAAAATGTATTCCGGTCTTGTTAGGTCGAGAAAGATAATTTAGCCTATGATAGGAGAAGGTAAAATGTTTGGATTGACTACCCTATATTTTTTCATAAGGATCTATTCGAAACAATAAACTAAATGAAGCTACTGAATTTGTCTGACTTTGTATCCTACAGTAGCCTATGGGTATAGGTTCAGAAAAGGTTTCGCGCGCATCAAATGAATGAAACGTTTATTGTCTCAAGCATCTCCAAAACATGTTTTATTAACGATTTCAATGAATTGATAGATAGCTTACAATGTTGCCCAACGTTCTTTTTTGTTACCCTAGGTTTGTGTCAATTCAATGAACCGTTATTTTGTGTCAACCTATGAGCTATCGACAATCCCCCCTTCCTGGAACGTGATTGGCTTCCGAATGAACTTTAAAAGAAGTTGAATGGGCCTGCGTTGTGTTAAGATCAACTCGATCCCAATTTATGAACAATTATGTCAGACATTTTAAACGTTATTATTCATATAAATGCGGCCTATTAGTTCGGATTTCGTTGGCAGTAGGTTTACCTGATGTTCCCATGGCCCATTCGTTGACGTTGTTTGTCTCTGTGTTACCCCGTAGTACAACAGCTAGCCTGACAGATGCTCTCTTCAACAGTGGACTCCTATGGGAGTCTGTCCTATAGGATTACTATTGAATGATGCAGGTCAGGTCACTTGCAATCTGCTCTATCAAAATGTAGTCTATACAAGGAGATACAGGATCTAATAGTACTTAGTTTGATCTATGG